TGACTTCAAACTACCATGACCCAACTGTATGTCATATTCGGCCCCTTCCATGGTACTCATTTTACCATTTCTCTGGCTTTTTGTGTGTCTGTCTGTCTCTCTTACATCTATCAATCACTCTTCTGTCCCCCCTCTCCACTTTTTCTCACTTTGATGCTCCTCCCCTCTGTGAAGCCAGAAGTCAGCTAAAGGACTAATGATATGTATCATAAAGCCCGTCATTTGAAATAAATATTGTCTGGGAACATTTTGACTCATTCTTGTGGTAGCTCGATTATGTTACAAATCAAAAACACAAAATGGAGGCAGATAGGAGACTAGGCAAGGTTTTGGCATTAAATACGAACTCCCCGAAGCACAAACACTTTTTTAAACTAATTTTTTAAGTCGGCAGGTGGGAAACAAATGAGCCAATAGGAGAAAATCGATAAAACCATGCACACTCACAATGCGTTATGGGCAACATGCACATTAAAGCGAGCGATTGATAGATTGATTGATCACCCAAGTCAACCGTTACTCTGATGAGTGGAATAGTAAACAAAACGGAATAAGGGGCTTGTTTAAGTAGAAATGTTCACAGCGTCACTAGTTTACTCGGAGTGTTGGCGTAACAAGAAACGAGGCCACCAATTTAGGAGACGCCAAATTGAAGGCTCTATTGAACCAAAACCAGGTCTTAGAAGCTAAGACAAAAGCCAGGAGCTAACAGCAGCAAAAACAGTTGTGAAGGGTCAAAGTGCATGGAATAAACCTCAATGTGGATCTTTCAGTGTGAGAGGGATGGGGGTGAGCGGAGAGGCGAGGGAAATGTGGAAGCTGACAAAGAAAGCATGTCTGCGAGGAGACAACTCAAAGAAAAGTCAAAGGAGGTACTTGGGCAAGGACGTCCGTGAAATATGAGTACGAAAGGAGACAGTAAGAGGAAAAAGAAGAATCGATAATTTCTTCTAGATAATAATAGATAGGGAAGTAAAGACGAAAAATCGACATATTTTCATAAAGAATGTGAACAAATAGTAATTTTGAGAAATGCACGGAGATTTTGGATCTCGTATTGCTTTATAAAGTTATTTGAAAAGTGATCGAGGAGAGTGGGTGAAAAATTTTAGGCCATTTCCAATATGAACGCGAAATTTAAAACACTCAATACCTACTATTATCATCAGCCAGTTGAAATAGCGCATTATAAAAATATAAGAAAGATGATATTACTGATCTTGTTCAAATGTATTGAAAGCCCTGAGACCCAAATAGAACTGATAATACCCTCAAAACAAACATTTTAACTAGGGAATTTCACCAAAAGAAAACCAAGATCTTGACTAAGGTTCCCACTCCTCCTGCCAAATCTACTACGTCCGCAGTTAGAAGTGAGAATTTTACAATCTAAATAATCGGTCTCGAACTTAAGCTTAGTAGATTTGCAGGTTAACTTAGCGCGCGCGTGCGCTAGGACAGCAATGAACAGAATTGATGGGTAAAATTACTAACTTTTGTTCAAGAAGAATTACACTAAAATTTACTGTTACTTTATAAAACCTTCATGCATTAGTTAAAATGCGCTAAATAAGACGGTCGTTACCAAGGAAATTTTGGAGTAAAGCTAACGTTAAGGCATAAAAATATGCGCTTTAATTGGAATTCGGAAGTTGTGGCTATCTTAGAAGGTCAATTAGGTAAAAGCAACGATCCAAGTAACATCGCTATATGTAGGTGAAAATCAGCTGAATCTTTGGAGATTGATCATAGTTCCATAAAGCATAAAGTATTAAGTGACTGCAAGAAAGCAAAAATGATTAAATTTTATCGGTAACATTGGCTTACCCATCTCTAAGAACAACAGGACAGCATATCCGTAGGCCATTGAATGCCGAAAGAATTCGATTACAGAAGAAGGCAATAGCAGGATGCCGAGCAATCTCAAAGGGAGCTCGTATCTCCTCGGAATTTCCTTCTGTTGACTGAGACGACAAGAAGGACGTTTCGACGAGTTCCCAAGGCCAAAGTTCGAGCACGACACTCAGTTCCGTTAGTGCATTACTCATTAAGGTCTAGGAAATCAAATATACCTTCACAAATTAAAATTCACCTCAAAGTAAATGAGAATAAACCGCGAAAAGAGGGAACCTAAGTGAGCTCTAAAGTCACAACCAATTCGAGCAAACGACCGACCGAAGTAGAGAGCTTGAGTCATGATAGAATGGGTCTGATGGAAAGCCACTGATGCGTCAACAGTGTTCAGATTTGCAGCATCGTTAGCCATTGCTAATTGAATACGATCACTAAACTCTGAAGCCGTCAAAGGAGGAAGATTGAGCATAGCATTGAGATCATCAGAAAGTCCATCCAAAAAAATTCCAATTTGTCGCACCAACCAGGAATGGAAAAGACTTCCCTCGTTACAGGGACCAAGGTCATCAATTTCATTATTTACTAGATGGCGCAAGGTCCGTGTTGACTCATCCAGGTAGAGAGGAGAAATGTCAGCAAGATCAAGTTGTTGATGTACATATGGCAATTTAGATGAGTAGCCTTCTTCATCCGCAAACACAGCACTGAAACGCATAATAAGAATTTCAATTTAAGGAAACAAATAATAAAAAAATCGATAATGGACAGTACTCACCGATACTGAGTGATACTATCAAAGAGCTGGACCCGAGTGACCTCAATCCTTCTCATGGCCCTAATGAAGGCCTTATACTCAGCCTGTTGATAGCTTGATATGCAGGCCGATTTCGAATCAAAATTTGATATTCCGATTGGTTTTGATAAAGCAGCTTCCAGTTGGTCTTTAATACAAATCCCCCGAGATTGAAGGAAATTTAGCCGAAGTGCCTGCTCCGTAAAAGCTTCCAACTGACGTAGATAAAGAACTACCTAATTTATTAATTAAATAAAAAAAGCGGGGATGAATTGTGTTACTTTAAGGCAAACAGGAAGAGTGATTGGCTCTCTGAGTTTTTTACAAAGATGACTGAAGAGTTGACCACTGATTTCTTGAGCTTGGTAACCAACCATACGTACAATAGGAACGGTTCTTCCATACTTCTTTGTCATGTGTTTGGTATGATTCAAGATATTCAGAGCATCTTGATAGTATCCGTTTTGAATACAGGTTTCCATTAATTGAGGAAGTTCCAAGAATTCCGAAATCTAAGAGGAGACTAGCACAGGCACTAGAAAAAAAAACATACCTGAGTGTACTTTTGAACAGTCTTAGCAGCAGTTCTAAAAGCTGAAGCATTCTTGCCAATGTTATCAAATATTGTTTGCGCTGCACCAGATACTGTAGCGATGCTCGAAATAAGATTTACATTAGAATCCGAAATTGACATGAATTCCCGAAGAACCTCCCGACTTGTATTGGCATTGGCTAGAAAAATTGGATAATTTTCAACAGCCAGTTGTTCAGTTTTATGTCGAATACTATCCTCTTCCTTCTGAATGCGCTCTGGTATAGAGACTAATTCATCTAATCGCAAATTAGAGAGTGTTCCGATAGATTCAACAAGTTGAGGATCAGAAGAAACCGAGCTTTCTACGTCAGATGAGAGTAATAACATCTGAATCAGCTTTTCAATTTCGATCTTTTTATCATAATCTTGGCTATCGACTTCGAGGTCATCATTCATTATATAAACCTACTAAAGTAAATTTAATTAAAATACGGAATATCGTAAAAATTATAAAAGACCAGAGTATATCGAAAAGTATATTTAAAAAATAAATCAACGGAAGAAAAGAAGGTAACAGGCCATCGAAAAGCAAGAAAGGGAAACAACAATATGCAGACGAATGCCAATTACGGCGGATTTGTACAAAATGCCCCAGAAACCTTTATTTTCCGAGAACATCCAGTTCCGGAGTTTTGTTACCCTACGCATGTAGGCACATGCGCAAATGAAGAGTAATCCAATAGTTATAACTCCGTCCAGACTATATGCGCTTACCATTTTTATTAGATATAATTCCAACGATTTGTAGAGTTTTATGCACACCAATTTATGTAGCGCGCCTATAGGTGACGCGAGTGGTTAGTTTGAGATAACACTTATAGACCACATACGGTACCTCTTGGCAAAAACAGCAATCATGAAAATTGTATCGATTTAACTGGATGTCATACGTTGCTGCCTACACTCTTTTACTGAAATTGTTAATTTAAAATAAAAAGGGAATCAGTAAATGAGAGCTCATTAAGCAGGCTAACACATGCTAGGAATTTGAATAAGCATGATATAGAAAACATATTGTTCCTTTACTTTACCAGCTTTCACAATTTTTCAATAATACGCCCATTTTATTGTCAAATGAAGAAAGCAATATTAAAAATACAGTGCATGTTGAGAATCCACTTAGATTAG